ATGACCGGTCACTTTTATCAATCACCAAATGAGGTTAACTCTTCGATTGGGACGGGTCAAAAGTTGACCGGTCACTTCCACTAAAAAAGTGACCGGTCACATTTTGGGCGATAGCCAAAATGTCGCCTAATGTTACAAAGGACATTCTAGAAGACCAGAGACGGGTTGAGCACAAAGAATGACCGGGTAACTTTTGAGAGAAGGTGACCGGTCATATCACTTTACTTGGCTAACATTGGTTCAGTCTCTTAGGCATGGTGAACCACGTCAGAGGTCAAGGGGACACCCCGCCGCTCATCCATCACGAGGCACACAGTGAAAGGGATGTTTGTCATTTTGCAGGGTTGATTGGATTGAGAATATCCATTTTAGTCTTTGATTGAACAGTACATGTCTTGGCCTATAGTTGCTAAATTCTATGATTGTACAGTGTTCCCATTATCTACAGTGACCTTCCCACGAGCTTCCTATTTTGTCCATGGATGAACAGGGGAAGGTCACAAATCCTCCTCTATAAATATGATGATATTGGATAGAGGAGGGGATCCAATTTTTCTCTCACTAAAGTTCACTCTTAAGATAGAGTAAGAAATATAATTCGGACTGAGGAGATTTACCCGGTCTAGGTCATACTTTGTGTTCTTGTTGTGTGTTTTATATTACGGGTCGAGTGTGTCCAGGTCAAACCCGGTTAACCCACCCAGCTATATTTACACCATCATTGCTTAACTATTCAGAGGCAAATGTCTGATCAATTCAGATAAGAGATCTTAACCATTCAGACTCTATATAATACTTAACCATTCAGAGGCAAATGTCTGAACCATTCAGACATCTGCTCACGAAACAAACAGTCTAAACCATTAAGTGCTGAACCATTCAGACATCTGAACCATTAAGAGGCTGAAACAAACAGCCCTTTATTTTTAATTATGGATAATATTCTATCGAATGAAAGTTATCATTATGGATTATATTATGTTCTCTTAGCTTAGAAAATTTGACTTCTAATTTTTTTAACGGTTTACAATTTCTTTTAATTCCTTTTAATTCTTTTTAATTTTTTCCAGTTTTCTCCAATAACAATTTAAAAATGTATTTATATATGATAAACATCAAACACAAACAATGATGAATTCTTTTTTATCCAAAATTAGAGTTTTCTTACACATGTATTTAGATCATCATTTAGTTGATCGACTTTTTAACACTTAAATTTTTCCAATATATTCTAACTCTTTCCATCTCCTTCCAATTTCTTCTATCATCCAACTCTGAGGGGCTGTTTGTTTCAGCCTCTTAATGGTTCAGATATCTAAATGGTTCATCACTTAATGGTTCAGACTGTTTGTTTCAGCCTCTTAATGGTTCAGATGTCTGAATGGTTAAGAGATTTGCCTCTGAATGGTTAAGTATTATACAGAGTCTGAATGGTTAAGACTTCTTATCTGAATTGATCAGACATTTGCCTATGAATAGTTAAGCAATATACTAGCTCTTAATAGTTCAGACCTCTTACTGGTTCAACACTTACCTATTCAGAAGTTTCCAAACAGCCCCTGAAATTACAAATTAAAAAAATAGAGTCTAAGTGTAAATAAACTTCAGTTGTAAATGCTACTTCAAAAAAAAGAAGATGAATTCTTTTTTCTAACCACATTAGACTCAGTTCAAAGAGTTCATAAGAAAAATTAAATGAAACTCTAATCACATTCACCCAATTGAGGATGTGATCTCCATGCCTTTGGTCTAGGTAAGGACCTTTTACAAAGGATAAATGTCTCATTGTCTTCGTCACTTAGCTTGTTGAATATAGCTATAATGTATGAAGCCGGAACACCTCTATTGATCACATGAGGTACGAGCTCAGACCATAAAAGCTACTACTACGTTATTTATAGATAAATTTTTTTAGAACATTAACATTATTAAAATGCAGTATCTGTAAATAAATACAAATATTAATAAGAAGTACGTAGATATCACTTTCATCCAACAATAGTGAAGTTTTATTATGAGGTGATAACTCATTCAGACTTATTCCATCACTTTCATGAAAATTAACTTCTATCATTTTTTTACTTTTCCGTCACTTAACGACATGGTGAGAGATTTTGCTAGAAGTACATCATTTTGGTGTACATTACAAGCAGATCAAGTGTGTTACAGATAATATGAACAATAAACATACGTGTGTAAACAGATAATTATTGTCTCTATGTATCTGTAATACACTTGTTCTATAATACTCCATCCGTCCTAAAATTAATTTCCTAGTTTGACTTTTGTAGTCAAACTTTGACTGTTTATTACGGAAAAAATACATTGAATTTTCATATAAATTTATTAGCATTAGATTCATTTTGAAACATAGTTTTGAAATATGTAATTTTTATAAAATATATTTATATAAAATTTGAGATATTGATGGTCAAAGTGTCGCATTGGAGACCGTGAAAAGTCAAATGGGAAGTTAATTTTAGGACCGAGGGAGTAAGATTTTAAAACAAGATGTTATATGTACGGAGTATATGTTTGAGCGGTCAAATCTCTCTCGAGACGGTCAAACCCCTGCAGCTTCTTCCATAACCGCGGGCTCCATTGGTTTCTTGTAAAGGAAGGCTTTTGCAGCAAACACATAGACGCACAAATTCACCGCGCCGATTCCGGCGAGAACCCAGTAAAAGTAGTTAACGTGGGCCCGGTTGATGTTATCCACCAACCACTCGTGCCCGGATCTGGCGCTTATCCCCTGCACCGCCGTTATCAGAGCGCCGCTCATAAAGCTCCCCACGCCGACCACGCTGATGTGCAGCGCCGCGCCGACGCTCCTCATCTCCGCCGGCATCTGGTCGTAGAACAGCTCCTGCAGGCCGATCACGGTGAAGACGTCGGTGAGGCCGACCATCACGTACTGCGGCGCCAGCCACCAGATCTGCATCGGGAGGGTGGATTTGGGGGAATCCAGCCGCCCGTTCTCCGCCGCGACGCGGATCCGCCTGGTCTCCACCAACCCAGCGACGGCCATCCCGGCGGCGCAGATGAAGAGGCCGACGCCGATCCTCTGGAGGACGGTGATGCCGGAGGGGAGGCCGGTGAGTTTCCTGGCGGCGGGGAGGAAGATCCGGTCGTAGACGGCGACGGAGAGGAGGATGGTGAAGGAGGTGACGACCTGGAAGGAGGCGGGCGGGAAGTGGAAGGAGGCGAGGGATCGGGAGAGAGTGGCGCCTTGCTTGGTGAAGTAGGTGCTGAGCTGGGCAATGCTGGCGGCGAAGGGGAGGCAGCACAGCCAGATGGGGAGGAGGCGGAGGAGGAGCTTCACCTCCTCCACCTGTGTCACGGTGCATAGCCGCCATGGATCCCTTTTCTCGCTTGACGCGTCTCTTTCGTCTATGATCGTTGCCTTGTCTAAGAATCTGCAATTTTCATATCATCGATGATATTTAACTGTTTGTAAATAATATTAGTAAATTTTAAATATTAATTATAAAATGTATATTAGATATTGGTGTAAAAATAATATTCATAGATTTATCTTGTAAAATACTGTATTTGTACTAAATAGCACTAAAACTTAAGTCATTTTCTTAAATAGTACTTAAATTGTTTTATTCTCTATATAACACTTAATAATTTCCATAATGTATTGTAATGACGAATATTTACTTGAATAATGACTAATGTGTAATGCTAAAAGTGTTACATTGGGAAGAAAAACACATCTGGTGCTATTTAGGGAAAGTCATTATATTTTAGTACTATTTAAGTAAATTTCTCTTTAAAATAATACTTTACCTAATTAATATGTTATCTAGTTTTATTTAATTGGTCAAATGTCGATCCTTGATTGCGAAAAAATTTAAAACAAGATAAATTTTTTAAGACATAAGGAGTAAGAGATACTTCATCCGTTCACTAAAATACTTCATTCTTTTATTTTTTTACTTCTATCATTACACTTTTACTTTCTATTAAAAAAATCACTTTTATCTTTATTTTTTCAACCTACCTATGTCATCATACTTTTTCACTAATAATTCATTCATCAGATTTTACTTTTACCGATCACATCAAAGATAATATTGGAAAGTCAACTACAATTTAATCATTCTTTATTTTGGTCTTGGATCAAATTAGCAAGTGTTTTTCCAAATGGAGAGATAGATAGTTCTATTTAATTGATAATTAACATTTGTCCAAATTTTGATTGTAAAAATTCATCAAATTAGACAAGCACATGGAGACATGGAATAACAATTGAACAATTAATTTCAAATTATAAATTGAATTAATTAGTGTTCTATAGTGGTTCTATACTTCTATCCAACAATCTAGGAACAAGACTAATTCCTCAAATTAGACAAACACTTTTGAAACATAATGACTTTCTCAATATAAGATTATATATTTTTATTTCTCAATGTAGGATCATTGGTCATTAGTCATTATTCAAGTAAATGTCTAACATCACTGGACATTATTCCTTCCACTAGACATTATTATTAAGTATTATTTAGGAAATAAAAAAATATAAGTCCTACTTTGAAAAATGACTTATATTTTAGTCTTATTTAATGCAAATTTCACTGTATATTTTAGATTTTTAGTTTTATTATTTAGCATTTAATTAAGTTATTAACCGTATATCAACAAAATGTTACGGAGTAATTGTTACTCAAATTTAATTTGTGAACAAAAATGGTTACAGAGTGAGTATCTGTCATTCCTTAGATAGAATGAGGAGTGAATCTTTGGAACCATTTACCCCCTTGATCCACGCAACATTTGGTGGGGTTGATCTCAAGGAATAGAGATAAATTTTAAATAAAACGATACAAAAATAATATAATTAAATTTGTTTTATATAGTATTTTCAAAACATTTTTTATCTAATCAATGACCTTCATAAATTTAACTTAATATAATGTCAAAAATTGAAAATAATTAATGACAAAAGGACAGAACAGGATAAATATTCGAGAACAGAAATATCATTATTTTTGGGATCTAAGAACCTTTGTAACTACTGAATGCATGTGGATTTTTAATAGGAGTATCTATAATTCTATACAGCTCCAATAATGTGTGATTCCATGATTCTTTCATAGTGGCACAAATGGGCATTGAAAAGATTTGTGTAGGGAAAGGTGGTAGGTAGATGCCACTAATAATTAAGCTATTAAGTAAATCTGCCCCTATATATATAAGTTTTGACATTATATATATATATATATATATATATATATATATATATATATATATATATATATATATATATATATATATATATATATATAG